ACCCAGGATCTTGAGGGAAATGCAGAGTCCCCAGATGTGGGAACAGAACCTGCAAGAATCTGTAAACTTGACCACAGAGAGAAAATGACCACATCCATTGAAACATAAGATATCTCCCACGCACTGAAAAAAACCCCAAAAATGCAAAACCAGACTATGCGAAAGCATTATCTAGTACGTCCAAAACCAGCACTGTATGTGTTTCTATTTTAAGATTATTTAACATAAATAGATGTTATCTAACTTCACATGTCTCCACTGAGGGAATGTCATCCTGAATGCACACAACGTGTGCATTGACTTGAAAGAATAAACAACTCTTCTTTGCCATCTTGTCAGAAAAAGTGAAGGCGGGGAAGAGGGAATGCGATTTCCCTTGCTACCTTTAACTCCTTCCCCGGGTTGAGCATGTATCATAAGCAGGGAAACAAGCAAAAATAATTTTTCATTGGAACAAACAGGGGGAAGGTTGAGCTAAAACCTTGAAGGCGTCTCAGCATCTCTTGCCACTTTGAATCACGCGTACTCCTAATGTTCAGGATTTTGCACTGTATGAAGGCCACCTGGAAGCTTGTCAATGGTACTTCTCAGTTAAGCCTTGGGATGAGGTGGCCTTCTTTGGGAGCTGCATGGGTATGAAACTCCTTGCTGAACTCCAGAAGGTTGGGAGTGTATGAAAAATAAAGTCTAAACAACATCCCAGTGTTGGTAAGCACCATGGTTCCTACTTTTCTGGTTTCCCTTGCACCTGGCAAGCGCACAGAAGCTATTTTTGAACTGTCTAGACTGTTCTTCTGAAAAGAAACTCTTCTTCTTTTTCCTCTTCGGGTTATTGGTCATTGGGAAGAAGGGAGTTAGCAAATCTATTTGTGAGTTTGCCCGCATGCTGAGCCCACATAAGTGTTTTATAAAGCACATTTATAGAACTGTTGTAAGAGCACATCACTTCAAGAGCTATGCATTTATAAAATTGACTTGCATGTAGTTTAATCAAGCCAGAAGGTTGACTACCAAAGTAAATTTTTACATGACATTTACGGTAAAATTCTCCCGCACCCCTGTTTAGCTTTAAAAAGTTTATAGATGGACACAAAGATAAAGTGAGAATGTGCAGCCAAGTAATTTAAAGTTCACATTTCTGATAACTGATTATTGGAATTATTACTGTTGATTATGACAGTGATTGATTATTTCTTCTATGGGCACAGCTTGTTTGCTCTGTGGTCTTCCTGACCTTTTAGGTGGGACCCTTCGTGTTAGAGACGGATGGTGGGACAGGTAGATAACTCAGCATGCATTGGCTTGTCTGCCAGCTGGCTCTGAAGCACGGCTGGAAGGTTGCTGTTGTGCTTCGCACTGTTTCCCTCTTGGCATCTCTTTCCTGTTGCCACTGAAAATCATGCTACTGCTGCTCTTTCTTCTGAAGATGCTTCTCCGTACTGTTGACTTTTCCTTTTTTTTTTTTTTTTTTTTTTTTTTTTTAACCTGTTCCCAGAGAATAATTGGGGGGTGTTCTCAATTTGTTATGTGTGACTATATATGTGTTTGTACATTCAGCACTGTGAAAGGTTGGTTATGAAATGCAATGGCTTTTCAGACAATCTTACATAGTGAAAGAGAACCCTTGTCACAAATGCCACCCTGTTGCAATCTGAGACCTTCATAGCTTTTTGTTAAATGGGGTTGCTTCATCAAAGCTACATGGGGTTGGAAGACACTGTGGATTGCTGCTTATTGCTCAGAAACCTCTTGGAGTTGAATTTATGCTAGCACGGAAAATCTAAGTAAAATGACAGTAATCATCCAGTTCTGAGTGGAACAGGGAAGC